ACAACTCTACCAAAGGGTATTTGGATTATAACGCGATCTAAATCCAACTTTAAGCCTATAAATGTTTCATGGTTTTTAGTGCCAAACTCCTTTGTTAAGTAAAACAACAAATATTTCATTAGTGTTTGCGGGCTCTTGTGTGATTGGTCAATGCATGCACAGCTCTTCCAATTATGTGTGTTACTCCCTATCAATTTGGACCCCGTTTCACTCCGGGGTCACGTCCAGACGCCACTCTTATGACTGGAAATTTGTGTTGAAAAGTGATTTTTTGTTGTTGCGGTGTACGCAAGACGATGAACAACTTGTGTTTTTAACATCATTTCACCTATTAACAATTCACCTCTAGACGTGTCAATTTCATTTCAATAGTAAAAATACGTTGTCAAAATCTGAATAATCACAACCTCATCGGAACCCTTTTTCTAGTCTTACCCACAAACCACACCCAGACCAACCATCAAAACGAGTGGTCTGGGGTATATTAGTCTCCTATGACCCATACCGAGGACTTCCTGTTTGTAATGCTATATGATAAATCAGACTAACTATCACGTGAAACCAAATGAAAATCATTCTTAAATAACGTACTTATACCCAATTGATTGTGGATTCATTGACCAGCAAGAAAGAAATGACATTTGAAATAATAATCGTCGAGCAGGCCCGGATCGTAACGTTCGATTGACGAAATAGACGATGCAACAGTACTGATTGGACCTACATAAATGCTAATCAATTTCACACAACCAAATGTTTTTTTTTTTTTTTATTTTTCCGATTTTTAGTATGTCGTACATTATCTTCGGTAATAACTCCGAAAGTGAAGCCTGGTATCTTCAACAGCTGCTTGTTGAATAATTTCCGCTTTATTTTTGGACCGCGCGAACCCAGCAACGTCGCCCATCTGCTCGTTTTTTTGGAACACACATCTATATTTTCCTGGTTTCTCTGCTTTCTGACCTAAGAAATTTACATTGCCTGAATCACGTAAATGTCTCGATAATCATATTGTTGAAACGAGGTAGCAGCCCTGGATTCAAACGGAACACAGTCACGCTCTACCAGCTTGTTGTGGAACATTCACGTAACAAGAGGTCATAGTTCAAGTTGCGTTCACAAACGATACAACGTGTGATGGATTGGAAGTGTCGTTCAAAAAAAAAAATAATGGTTAATACTCGTTGTATCCTCGGCTTTAGCATTAAAACAACAATTCCAACACAATAAGCGAGTGGGAAAAGAAAGGAATAAAGATACCATAAAAAGTCAATTAATTCGCGGTAGTAAAATCAATTATTTTTTCAAGTGCGCGAATTAATAGCGTAAAAACGAAAATTATTAGGTTTTGGTGCGCGAATTAAAAGAGCACCTTTAGATCGATCGATCACCATCTTCGTCGTCGTCGTCGTCGTCTGAAAGCAGATCGACAATGATTTCTGCTATTTTAGTGTTGCTTCGGATAAGGTGGGTTTCTGCCCGTTGAATGCATTTTTGTAGCTATGTGTTCATTGTTTACACGATTGTTTAGCACTCTCATCTATAATGAAAATGTGACACGAAGTCAATCAACCGACCGATCAAAAACGTCAATTTACGCACCATAGGGCGGTTCAATTAAATTACGTCATAGAATAAAATCACTTTCCAATTTTATTGGCTGACACGTGGTCGATGCAACCCTGTGGACCAGCGACGAAAAGCCCTGTACTAAGCCCTGTATCACGGAAATTCGTAATCAATGTGCTGACCAATGGATATTTATCGACTAAGTAATAATCTTGCCAACATCTGTAGTATCGTGAGGGAATGACTTTTTTCAGGTCAAATCTTGACCGAACCTAAACTGCATGCTAACAAATGGCAATTCAGTGTGGAATGCAAAGCCCTGCAATATAGGTGGAGTTACCGTTTGCAACAGTTAACTACCTCCTAAAATATGTAGTTCTGTTTGTTTGATTCGCATTATATGGATTAGAGCTCTGTCAATACGTCTTGTTGATTTAAAGTTATGTCCTGTGAATTTGAAGTTGTGTTCTGCAAATTTAAAATTATTTCATAAGAATCTAAATCTTTGTCCCGTGAATTTGAATTATCCTGACAATTGTTGGACACAGTATTAATTGTCGATAAGATAAACGTGATATTGCCGACCACAAAACACAAAAACTGTAGTGACAGGTGAAAAAAGTGTGCAAATAAATCACTGTCATCATGCCTGCCTCATGCGGCCCAAATCCTTGGCAGCGAAACTGGTAAACCTCATAAATAGAATGTGGAAAAAGTGTGCCATATGAAATCAACAAACACAAAATTAAACTGTTGTATTTTCGCGAGATCGGGTATTATTAACATGAATATTTGTCATTGGTAATTTATAGCGAGGATGATAAAAGTAACATAACATCTTTGTTTAAATTTAGCTTTGGCCTTCTTTTGAAGTGTATACAAAATCAAATAAATTGATGAGTTTATGAAATATACTAGAGAAGTATAACTACCACTAGATTAACCACAGTAAGGACGTATTGAGTTTTATCTGAAATCTAATTAATTTTGATTCGATATAAGATTTGTCACGTTTTGTTCAGCTGGATATATTTCCGCTACTGGCTAAATAGGGTTGCGGTTTACCACCGTAATTTGAATCGTAATACCCACTTAGCAACACGCGGAGATTACCAGGGGCGCGACTCGTAAATTTAGATTGAGAAATAGCTTGATTACTGACATAAATATATCCGTTGTGATACGCGTTCAAGCAGAGTAAACTACCCACGATAACGTCAACGTCAATGTGAGTAATCACATTGAAAGGTACATTTTGACATTCGGTTGAATAATAATTTATTATTTTGACAATACGTGTGGATAAGAGCTAATAGTACAGTGAGAATGGAAAATATATTTTGCAAAGTGAAGTTGTACGCCCCCTCCCATTTATAGGGCACGTACATTTGTAGACAACAGATGAGGTATCAATAGGCGATTAATATTCTGAAACAGCTTATTTATTTAAATTACATTGTGGTGATGTGTGTTTTAATTAATTTAAATGTGATATTTACTGACAATTTGAAATCGGTTTGACGTAGATACTACAGATTCACAACCCAATATATTTACAATCTCCCTATCTTGACGACCTTGAAATATCAACTATTACAGTGTTCACTGATTAATAGTGTTTAACTAACACTTTCTTCTACATGCCGATCTAACTTCAGTGCAGTCGACAGTCTGTCAGGTACACTACAAAATCACTCTCGTGTGTATGCCAAAGAAAATAGTTTAGTTGACAACTTTGTTCTATGGGGCAAGTACGTGTGGTAGAAGAACCTTTTGAAATGAACGTGACGAAATTTTGGCAAAAGAAGTATAAGCTTATATTAGCTTTCTTCATTCCACTCATACTGAGTCCGATTCCCGTTTTCTTTAACGATTCAGAGGTAAGAAAAAGATGATAATATTGACAAAAATCATAGGGCATTGCATATTTAGTGATATAATTTCATTCTTTTTTGAGACAGTTGACAGGCGAACAAAAATAGTATGGCGTATGTATTGCAAACATCAATCATGCCTATGTTTATGAAAGATACATACAATATACCGTTGTGTGTTTTGTATATACGATATGTGTACAAATATGCTTCATAACTATGATTGAAAATAAGCCTCTCAAGCCCAATATTCTCTTGCACAACCTCAAGCGATGTATGATTATCACTATCTGAACATCGATATGGAAATACATGCTCAAGTTGATGAGTTAAAGAGGCTTGTGAGTCAAGCTTGAATAGTTACATTTTACCCACAGAGAGTGCAATCCTTATATTGAACAGCAATATGCTAGTGTTACGGGGTGGATTCATTAGGAGTCAAAGTTCTTATCTTTATTTGTAATTTCACTGTTAATAAGCCCCATTCGCACCACTAACTATGATTCACAGGTTAGACTTTTCATGCGTATTAATGTCTAAGGGAATATGTGCGAGCTTATTGTGATGTCGGACATTGCATTACATATCGTAAAATCAAAACATATCGTCTTTAGTTCGGGTGGTTTAAAATAAAATGTGTGAAGGGGAGAGGTGTCGAAATAGACGACTGTTAGATATTATATATTATCTTCAGATGGTTGAACATTTTCAGTAAATATTGATGGGATTTATTTCTACTGAAAACTGCAGTAGAACAGGCTACCAAAACCAGATTTACCATTTATCTACAAACTTTCCACACGCAGTTAATTGTTTCAATTGCTAACCATAAAGAATACAAAAACAATATTAGCAAACAAACTTGATGGCGCTTCAGTGGAACGTTATGCAAAAACACGCAGAAAAGGTATAAACTTTAATAAGCTTTAGAAGCGTACAGTGTCTAGTCAAAATGCGTTAAACATTCGAGTAACTAGGTATCATAGTTACTGAGTCATTTCGGAATGATCCGAATGATACTGAGCATCGTCGGCGATTGTTCAAGCTTTATGATGTATCTATCGTGCAACTGAAATCTAACCTAAATTGATTGTGCATAAAATAATTAAATTCCAAATACTTTTGCACAGATAAGTAAGAACATAAACCATGAATCATTATAATTCTAATATAATTAGTTTTCTTACTATGCTAAGTGGGCAGTGTATGGCATGTTTTTTTTTAAAGATACGTTTTAATATAGCAATATGAATACGGATTGTTAGTCACTGTGCAGCACAAACAGTTGATAACCATAGGACATTAGTTTAAATACATGTTTTTATTATTATTAGGTACAACCAAAAATCAGCAGACTGTGCAAATATGTTTAAAATTAAAATTAAAAAAATCTTAAAAATCGTCTGACATCAAAATAATGTCCGCTTACAGTCTTCGGCAATTTTTCTTTTTTCCTGATTAAGCAAATATCTATTGAGATGTTTGAAAATGGACATTTAAAATGTACCCAATTTCCATTTTTTTAAGCCAGCGAAATGTTCGTATGTGTTGCTGTTAATGGCCTTCTACTGGATGTTTCAACCTATCCCAATCTCCATAACTGGACTCATCCCCCTGGTGATGTTACCGATTATGGGTATCGTGCCTATGGAGGACGTATGTTTGAATTACATCACAGAAAGCATCATTTTACTCATTTCGGCTATCATAGTCTCATCAGCTGTTGAACAATACAACTTGCATCGCCGGCTTGCGCTACGTACGCTACTGTTTGCAGGATCGGACCCAAAGCGGTAAGTTAATGATCAAGAAAAAATGCTAACCGCCGATCTTCTATTATTAAATTATTGCATGTAAATCAGCACATATTTACCTAGAGATATATACTGTAACTAGATTTAAAAATTTGAAAATTATATATCATTGATATAGTATAGTAAATATTTAAATTACATCGTTGTGTTACTTTAAGATATACCTGAGTGTTTATTATTGAATTTTAAAATGTTGCTTTGTCATGATCATCATTCACATGGCATATATTAACATTTACTTAGATGAGTGATAGCCCATATAACAGTTGATAGCATCAGACGACCCTGTTTTTGTTTATCAATAGTGTTTTATTTTGTTCACATCACCATGGTTACACAGTAAACGCGATCAAGAAACACAATGTGAAGAGAACTTAATTTCTGTGACTCTCTCGCTCTCAAAGTAATCTCAGCGTCATTTTACATCGAAAGTCTATTTTGTGTGTTTATAAAAACCTCTGCAGATTGCTCATATAAAAATTATTCTGTAGTGTGTGGGATGTGTATCTTCGTGAGATCAGTTTCATATTGACACATGCGTATAGCACATTAAACACTTGTCCAGTGGTATAGTAGTGGGCACATCGTCGTGTGTCCGATTAGTTTGTTGTTTTTCTCAATTGTTTTATTTTATGGGTCAAAAACACATGAACACAAGCATTCTGATTAAAACCCGATGTATTGTACGGTGTGTATTTTATTTTATATATTTTACTATTTTTTTTTTTTATTATTATTTGTTTATGTTTATTGTTATGTACTTGTGAATCAGTATATTTTTAACTATCGCCACATACATCTCACCAATGCCTATGTACGTGATTCCAACGCGACCTCCTCTGACTGGTTTAGTCAACGAATCACATACTTCCATCTCTAGCGCACCTGATGACGTCACCGGTCAGAATCAGGTCGCATACACACTCAAATAAAATGGCGGATTATACCGCCGTTAGCGATGAAAACGATCGGGAATAACACGACTTTTCGGTAAGTAAACCATTGTCATATGCAACAAAAGTCATGATCTGTGATTTTTATGTTAATATTGTGGCTTAAATGGTTCCAGTTTAGGTCTATTTTGTGTAGTTATTCCGGGAGTAGCGTTTTTTTCTACCAGTTCGATCGAAAACCGATATCTTTTTTCAGTCGCTTGCCCCAAGAGACGGGTGATATTTTGTTAACGATCGTCTACGGTATTGAAGCCGCAGATGTGAATATCAAAATTTTGTACAATAACTCTTCATTTAAGTAATTGAGTTGATTTGGACTAGAATAAAATAGTTTTTATTCGGAAAACATCACAATTGACCAGAAAATTTGTGTTGCTCCAATATTCTGCGTATGCGCTGGTGGCCGTTATACAATTTAAATTTAGTTTGCGTTGTTTACTATAGCTGTTTACAGTCTTCTAATCATAATGATTTATATATTTTTTTGCTTCCATTCTAGTTAAATTTGCCCAGTGCTTGGTTTAAAGTTAAAGCGATGACTCAATAAACGAACCTTGGCTGGCGAAGATGCATTTAAAAGTGTGTACATTAGTTGGAAATAAAAACAAAATTCAATATAATAACAAAACTGTAAAATGCTGCAGAATCTCTTTGGGAAATAAACAAATGTATTCGTAATTTTCTATGAATGGTTCATGCAAGTTAATTTTTAAGCTGTACATGAATTGGTGGGAAAATATACCATACAGGAAGATTGTCTGGTGGTGGTGGTGGTGTGGGATTTCGAAATATAACAGTTTAATGACGAGAATACAAATTCCCACGGATAATCAAAGGGCAACAAACAATTGCGAGAAAATGCATGGGAGAAACAAATTATCACCAACACCGATGGGAACATGAAGTATTGCCAAACTGCAAAAGGTATACGCTTCTCAAACCTTTTGATGTTCAGCCTAAGGTGGGATTTGAACTTGGGTCTACCGACAACCACTATGCTACCAGTGACCGGGCCTGATTGATAGCGTATTACAATTGCTATTTGATAGAGAGATGGCCACACAGCCCTGTCATGTAGCCCCAAACATGAATATGACTTCTGTGGTAAAATGCACTATGTGTCAGCACTAGCAC